GGGGGGGAGGGGGGAGGGGATCCGGCATCGCGCCTCTTCCCCCCTCGCTACCCCACTATGCCTATTAGAATAATTCTAACCATTCGTTATAGTTATATCTTAAGAAGACAGATGGAGACATAATTAAACAGAACATATTTGTCGTTTCGGTAAAACTGCTGTTATTTTAAGACATATTTGCTGGTCGAACATTCTTCACCTGCGGTGTCTAGCTCATCTGATGTATCCAGATATCCTTTCCGATGGCGTTTAAATTTTAACGATAACCGATAACTTAAAATGTCGATTTTATCCTTTTTTAAGCCAAAAATATCCGCATCTTATGGAATTTAAGTGCAATAGTTTGTTTTGCGAGGTCTCGAGGGAGCAATAAGCGCAAACGCATAGGCTAAATGTAGATAACTATTATTTAACAATTTTTCACTGAATGCAAAGTGAATATTGTCTCATAATCGCTGGTCACTCAACCGCGAAACTCTATATTCAAGTCTAAATTAATATTAATATACATAATTAGACTTACTTCTTTTGGGACCGGCGTCGTCTGTGGCAGGAATTTTCGTACCGATTGCACCAATGGGAGGCAAAGATGAATGAATTGCTTGAGATGACTGGGAATTGAAAAACAAATGAGAACTTGGACGTCAATGTGAGGAATTTTTTTTCGTAGTTGCCAACAGGGGATAAAAGTGAATAAATGAATGAACAAGAGGAATGAAATTGAAATACTTTTCTATTTTTCTGTAATAGAAATGGGTCATGAATCAATCAAATGAATGACCAAGTGAATGAGTCAGTTCAGGTTAACACACATTTGAATAAACTATATAAATAAAACGAATGAAAATCTGAATGGGATGAGATATATGTCTGTTCCTAGGGACACAGCTGGGTGGTAAAATGACAATGTGATGAATGAAAGAAAAAGAACAAAATAGAATAAACAAAACCAAGAGAACGAATACAATGTATTCCATCTCCACGCTTCAACAGTAGGTGGTAAAGATAAGTGGAGTGATTGGTAGTAGATAGACATTACGAGAATCAAAAAAATACAACTGAAAAGAAAGAAGACAGATTAGATCGCAAAGAAAAAAATATACCAAAAAATGGTAGTCAAACTTGATTTGATTTTTGAACATAAGGAAATAAACTGAGGATATGGAAGACGTAATAGAGCACAAACCGTTTTTTCATAGCCAAAATTAGAGGCAAAAGTAATTTATTTCTTGATGGTGGATGTAGATGATAAATGCGAAAGATCAAATAGAAACGCAAAGAAAAAATATTCGTCTTTTTATATATAACACAATTGAGAAGCAAACTTGAATTGATTTTGATGGTTGATGAAGATGATGCAAACAAGGAAGACTAACTTAGAATTCAGAAAACGAATTAAATCGCAAAGAAAATTATTCGTTTTTTTCTGATTTAAAATAAACGTGCGGCAAACGTGATTTTTTAAGGTGGATGTAGATGATGCGAACAAGGAAAACAAACTGAGGCGAAATGAGGTTCAAAGGAAAATATTCGTCATTTTATAGATACCACAAATGGGGAGGCAAACTGGAATTGATCGATTATGGATGTTGATGATGCCAATCAAACAAAACAAACAAATGAATCAGACTTATTAAAAAAATGAACGGTCAATATGTGTCGGTGATAGAAAGAGTAGGTGAAACGGTTCATGCTGAGACAAGATGATGGTTTTAAATTAGCTGTGTGTGTACACAAGTTTATTTATGTGTCGGCCTGTAGGTGGTAAAGCTGAACATATTTTTGCGGTGGCTGGAAATAACCTTCACATGATGATTAAAACAAACTAAAAATATATAGTGGGAAGTTGATCACGTATCGAGAGTTTGTGGAGAATAGAAAAAGAAAAAAGAAAAAGAAAAACGAGAAAAAAATCGAATGATTAATTTAAAAAGGAGACGATATAATGAAAAAAAAATTCATAAAGAATAAAGTTTGATTTCTCGGATTTTGTTTTATTTCATTTAATTATTTTTTTATTTATTTTGTAGATTTAAATATTATTTTATGGTTGGTTGAGGTCCATGATTTGTTATCTATATCTGGGTATTTCATATGCTTTTTTAGTATTAGTAGGAAACCAAAGAGATCGTTTCGATTGCGGAAAGGATGAAACACTGAACTAAGATGATCAGCTTTACCGTATATTGTTATAAAAACAACATCTCAAATCAGTGAAAACTTGAATCAATGAATGAAAGGCAAAACAATATGCTTGTGCAAAAAAATTGAAAATAGGATTGAAGAAAAGGAAAAGAAGACCGCAATGAGAATGAGCACACAGGCAAGGAAAGAAAAACGTACAAAACAGTCAAATAAATAAGCAAACAAACAACAGTAGTACTGTTGTTTGTTTGCTTATTTATTTGAAAAGACAGGCAGACAGGCAGACAGGCAGACAGACAGACAGTCAGACAGACAGACAGACAGACAAGAACCCTATGGCCAACGTTTCTAAGTGCGATATTCTTTTCATATTCACCTGCATCTGTTGCTGACCACACTGGATTTTGATGAGCTTGTGACATTTTTTATGTACAACTAACTTGCATTCCACACATTTATAACCCTAAAGAAGAATCGTTATTAGCTCAGAAACACTCCTTTTGTGTCAAGACCAACAATGTAATAATGAATAGGAAATAAATCTTTTTCAGTTTGCAAAATAAATAATTTGCAATTTGCAAACCAGCAATATTGGTATTGCTGGTTTGCAATTCTTTTAAGACAATAAAAAAGACAATAAAAAAAACTACGTGTAATGACAAGGCAGCCATGTTAGTTGATATAACGAAAGCTGGCCCGTCACTAGGACCTTGAAAGGGGGGGGTTCGTTTTTTTACCAATCTTAGTCATGCCATTTCTTTATATTCACATTATTGCATTATTGGTTCTTATTGCATATTCTGTGTAGGGAGAGGTGGGGGGGGGGGGGGGGTGTCATTCAACCTTCGCACCACTCCTAGCAATGGACCTAAAAAGAGACTTAACCATGCGCTCAATTTAATCAACCCAGAAGATGTTTCAGGGTATCAAACATAACAAAACCATCTTCTGTCACTATAATATATATCATAACTAGCATGAACTAACTCACCGATCGACCAAGACCCCATATTCTATCTGAGCAGAAAGCACATGCTGCCAACTGTAAAAAGAACCACAGCAATGATCAATAAAATAATATGGATTGATAAGATCTGCTACTTTGAAAAACGTCAAGACTGTGACAAACTTTTGTAGGCTACCCCTTTCCTTCCCCCAGATTTTATTCAAGGATACCCTACTGATTGAATAGACGGCACTCTAACTTCTTACGTTGCCTTATCCTGAGTAAGATGTCTCAACAACTTAGCACTGGTAGTTCCAGATTCAATGAAACTGCAGAGGTATTAACCATTTCGAGGTTGAGTAAAAGACTGGGTCAATTTGGGTTTGCAGTTTAGTGAAAATAAAAGCACTAATAAACAGAAATTTGACAAAAATATGCAGATTTTAAACCTGCATGGGCATGAAAACTACCGAGATGCTGTTTTAAAGGAATCTCACTGATAGTTTTCTGAAAGATAAATTTCAATGACAGACAGGCAAACATCAATATTCATTAACAATGGCCATACGTTGCATTACATATTTAGTAAAATAATGATTTTCATTCTATATTTAGTAAGTTATAGCTTACCCGACTGAATCTCTTTGCTACAAAAGAATGTCCATTAACTATGTGAATTTTTCTCCATCGTTTTGCTCCTCGTCGATAGATATTTCCTGGAAAAGATAAAAAATGTTAAAAATCAATGAACACCAAAAAACACATATGGTACAAATTTGATATTTTGAAAAATATAACAGGACTATGATTAGAAGTGAGATATTGAGTATGAAAAAATGGTAAATCACTATTTATTAGATGGCTACAAAAGTTGGCATACTGAGCTTTACATCAGATTTCTGACACAACTCAATATTAAAGTGATTATAAGATTTCCAGACACTAACTCTAAACAGGACTATTGCAAAGACATCAGCATCTATACCTCCAAAGAATCTAATATCTAGATATTAAACATTTGTATAATAACAAATCCCTGAACAATTTACACAAGTATAGTAGAGATATTCATGAATGGTGGAGTATTTAGTAACACTTTTAAACACATTTGAGAGGTGCAAGAACAGTAGCAGGATGCTTTCTAAGGCCCCGTCCACACTACGCCGGATAAATTTGAATCCGAACTTTTATTTATTCGGTTCCACTTCGAAAATTCGTTTTCRGTGAAGAATTGTTCCGGATTCGCCCGGACRAGTGTGGACGGTAGGCCTAACCGAATACATAAAAATTCGGATTCAAATTTATGTGGCATAGTGTGGACGGGGCCTAAATATAACTTTGATATTGCAAATTTTGTTTCAACCTCTTGCCTGAATACTCCCATTTCGAGTTTGCCTTTCCTCTGCCTTAACCTTGAAGGCCAATCGTTTAGTAAAGAATGTATATACAAAGGACAGTACAAGTTGATGAAATTTCCTCAGGTTTTTGTTGAGTGAATAGATAGTATGACACACAACTGAAGATAAAGCTGAGCAAAAGAGAACTTGAAACTGGAGTATTTTGTGCTCAAAATAATGTAGACTATGAAGTCAGTAGTTTGAAATGTGTCAGTAAAAGGTAAGAAAGAATCTCACGGTTATCGCTGTCCTCATACCAGCCAAGGGTCACCTGAATCTTCTGCACTGCCCCACAACATTGCATTGATACAGTGCATCACAGACAGAGGATATTATATATTGTGTGTAAGAAAAACCTCTGTTAATCTTGCTAACACACCACATTCTACTCAGATTGATCAATACTATTAAAAAATAATCATTCTCAGACCAGATAGAGTCCATTTGCCATGCATTTACTGTTGAATGATCTCTTCATATTAAACTGAGAATGAAGTAATCTTTATTTAGGTAAAAAATATATGACTGAAGCATACTTTTAATGATCAAAAAGCAAGTGCTTCACAATCAAAATAAAATTCTTTCAAAAAATCTTCCTAGAAATTCAAATGTACATTTATTTTTCACATTCCTTCCTAATGGATATCATTTTGTGGTATTACTTTTATTAAAAATTGATTAGAATTGGCGTAAAATTTTATTATTATTAAAATTTAGATATTTTCAAGGAAAAACATAGACTGGGATATACTGTTTACTGCTAGTTACAAGTTGGGATAAAGAATTGAAACCAAAACCCTATATAGTATTATGGTAAGCTAGTATTCCACTTGAAGAAGGCCAGGGTCAAGGCTGGTGTACGATATTGCTTAACAGTTAATAAAAATAATATAAAAAATAATAATGATCTTATGTGCTGATCAAGACAACAGTCGCAACAAAGAAATCGTAAAATCATGCAATCAAATAAATTGATCACACCTTTACATATTCTGATCGATGGCAGAGTATTGCCCAATGTTCCTGTTGCATTACTATTGTTTTAATCAGTGTGCGGCAATGAAATCAATGATAAATCTTATTTTATGAACAATATAAAGCAAAACCTTCTAGAATGGTATAAGAGTTATTAGAAAGAAATTTCTCAAAACAAAAATAAATTGCAAAAAATATTATTTTAAGTATAAATTACATTCTGACTGGCTAATTACTGTGCTTATATTAAAGGAACGAGACATACTGGTGCAAAATAATCAAGAAATGTCTCATAAAAGTAATATACTGTAAAATGGCCACTTGTGTGTCTGTACTGTGATATAAAATATGCTGGGAGAGAGAAGTTACTCTGTGCCATAGAGCACGAGGGAGCAATGAGAAGGAATAGCCAAGTGTTTTTCATCCTTATTTTGTGCTCATACATATCTCAAAGAGTCTGGACAGAGCTTGAAATAATAGCTGATCATGATCAGTCACTGCTGTCATGATCTTGAGCCAAATTAGTTTTAGCTTAATCATACCTCATTTCTGGCTAAATCTTACTGGTCAAAGGTCAAAATGACCAGCAAGGGAATGATTCAACCCAACAAGTCCTGGTGTTATTTTAAGCCCTGGAGTCTAGCTCAAAGTATTTATTTTCATATTCTAGAGAGTTTTAGATTGACCTGATTTCTTCCCGCAAACGGCAAACGTGACCACGTTTTCATCATTTTCCTGTATTTTACTTWACCTTTTACAARCTTTCTCACYAMRCRCAAATAYTCTTTTGTTTTTCTACTACTTGGAYTYTTTTGCRATTCCTTTTCAGTAACGTAAAATACTTTTTCACTGGTCAACTGACGTTTGACATTTGTCGTAAACATAAATCTAAAACTCACTAATATCACAGTACGGAGACATGAACAAGCATATTTTACTTAGAAACATTTTCTTATCACCAGACTATGTTTGTTCTGATGTAATATAGAGGAAAATAATCCAGGGAATAACATGGAGCAAAGGTCACACCTTAAAGCCACTAAGAAATGGGAGGGTATTATGGTAGACACAAAGGTCAACAATTTATTATAATAAATAAATAAAAAGGTAGCAATGAATAACATGTATTTTTATCACTAAAAGCTTTATTCTAAAATAATTTTAATTTCACATTTTATGAAAAACGAAAACCAAAATTTCAAAATTTAAAGCAAAAAAAATGTAATAGGAAAAGGTTAAATGTTGTAGCAAAACAAAAATATAACTTATTTTCTTGTGATTGCGTTGATACAATGCAAATGTATTCCTCTGAGGACACTTTTATCCTTATTTTTTGTACAAAAAAAAAAAAAAAAAAAAATCTCAAATCTAAATAAGATTTGGTCATTTCAAATTTTTTAGTTACTCAATAAATTAAAAAAAAATTCCAACCTACAGGCATTTTGTCATACTGAGAGAACATTGTTTCAAGCTTATGAAATATCATATTTTCTACTCATCCATGAATAATATTATTATCAGTCATGTTGTCTATCATCAGTATAATTATTCTAACGCCACAAACCTCATGGAATAAATTACTTAGCAGGAGATTATGTAATACATCAAAACTTATCTGGGAATATCATGTATCTTAAGTTATTTTATGTTCTTAGAGTATAAAAACTTATCCTGTAGCCTGAGGAACGAACATTTAATGAAATAAAGTGGAAAACAAGTGGTTCAACTTGGAGATAAAATTTCTTAAAACATTTAATCTTGTAGACTACTTGAAAAGGAAGTTCATTTACTATGACGTAAGTAAAGCCGTGGGTAATACTAAAAGGAGCTTTATTGATCTGTAAAATAATTAAAGTACTAGAAGATTTTTGGACAGACACCGACTACAATCTTTAATACCAAAGACAGGGAGAGAAACTATATCAAAATTTGGATATTCGTTTACTAAAGTTATGTTAAATGTATACGTATTTGCTAAAAATAAATAAAAAAGGATGAGTGTAATACAACTGTATTCTATGTACGTTTGATCAAAAGCTTCTGCAAGAGACAGTGAATTGATCAAATGCAAATAATGACATGATAGTACTTGATCAATGAATGAATTTAATGTCAAGAAAAAAACAAGAAAGAAATAGAAATATAAGAAAATAAGTAGTTAACATGTGCCTAGTAGATTGATCTCATTTACCAACTAAAAAGTCTATGAGTCAACTAAGAAATATAAAAAAAGCCCTTAGCTAAAGGAAACCAAGATGAATATTTGAAAGTCAGCAATTTGCCTATCAATAACTTGGAAATAAAATTGCCTGTAAGAAATAAAGTTAATAAATACCATCTGTAGGAAATGTCTTGACAYGAATAATAGTATCTAAAATGAAGTAGTGACTGAAGAAGGATATTAAAGCAAAACAATGTACACTGTATAACATGGTACTACTAGAGTATCCTTGAGCTAGAAAGGTTATTTTTGGGAGTTTTAGCAGGGTATTTTATGGCGTTGTATTTACACTTTAAAAGTCACAATAAAACCAAAAAGAAACTGTGACAAATTATTGAGCACTGTGTAAAAAAAGCTGGCCTTTTTTCTAGAAAATTAGAATTTTTTAAAATAATTGTCTCATGAGTATTTTATATTATGCAGACAAAATCATGAAATATATAATACTGAAGGATATTCAAAATTTTTAAAATGGAGCAAATTTTAGTGAATTTGAAATTAAAATGATGTGTTAAAGTAAAGTATACTAAATTAAACTGTACCAAAGTAACTTGAGATCTCAAAGATTGGAAAATCCTCTCCCAAAGCAACAGATCGTGGACGCTTCTGGTTTTTGCTCGGTGATTCTTCTTTTGGCACAAATGAGAAACTCCAAGACAAACTACCTTTTGCTCTTCTTACAGATCTTAAAAACCGTTGCGAGGCTTGCCGTAAGAAATTAAACTCATTATTTTCTTTGTTGCCTTCATCACCAAGCTGTGAAGGAATGGAAAAGCTCCTGGAAAATCTCTTGAAATTCATGGTGAATTCCACCAGAAGCCAAATTTCATGCTCTTTCTTTTAAAGAGAGATTGGTTTGAAGGAGAACCAGAGGCTGATCCCTTAACATGATTAAAACCAGATGAAGAATGACTTTACATTTTACAGCAGACACTATAGGCAGTGTGCGAGAGGGTTTACTGAGAAGCTAATATGCTTATAGCAGGTGGCAATTGGGGAATTGCTTAATTCATAATTTATTTATACAAATTCCTCTCATGTTTTGGGTTCTATATATAAATATCTCTGCTGGTACATGACACAGAATTTTGAGTTAGAGGCAACTGGAATTTTAATCAGTTATAAACATGATCAGCTTATTAGAATCCAGACCTCATAATGAATTTTTTGCCAATCGTTTCATCCAAAAACCACTAAGACTAGATCCTAGACTAGCATCAAGCTTAGAACTGAATCCTTAAGATAGAAAACCCATTAAAAACTTTCACTAGCATTATCAATTGGCTAACCACTGCTTCAAAGACATAAAATTATGGAAGGCCCAGTAAGACTTTGTTTATAAATAATAGGAAGAAATATTCTCTGATGGTCTGGCCTTGTAGACAATACAATAATTAAGAGAGCACTCTCTCTGAGGTATAAATCCTTTAGAAATCAAGCTGAAGAAACACAAGCTATTTTAAATTAACCGGTAATGGTAATGAGTAGATCCATGCATAATTAATATGTACTCACAGCAGGAAAACTAAGGAATGGAATTATGCTAATTATACAAGACACTTATAATATTGTATAAATATATGACCCAATGTTTTGTTCAAGGTAAATTAGCTTTCAAAATCTTGTTTTGGACTGCCATTAATGGATGTGTAAACAATGAATTTTTTAACATAACAAAATAAGATTTTTCTCTATTGTTTTGTTATTTGTACAAGATATTAGAAGTAAGATGTTGGTAAACATGTATAGTCAACAAGTTCATGTATAATCCATTTAACAATTATTAGAAAACAAGTGTAAAGGATTAAAAAGGCTTGTTAACAACACCTCCAGGTTTAAAAAGTTGTATGAGTCCTATTTTCATTTTTTCTTTTTTCTTTTCTTTTTTTTTTGAATTCGAGACAAGAGAAAAAGATCACAATACATAACAAATATGCACCTGCAAAAATCATTTCAAAAGATCTTAATTAACAAGTGTGTAAACTAAGTTAATAATTTGTTTAAAACAATTTATGAGTTTATAAAATCTAAAAACTAAAACTTGATTTTTTGAATTAAAGAAATACAGTAAAGGTACTAAAAACATGTACATTTAACTTGTTTTCAATATCTTGGCCTTAAAGAGTCTAATCGAGTCAGTTGTTTAAAGATTTCATGACATTGTATAATGTAAAGGATCGTGTAATCTTTACTTGATGTGTAAAAACCATTTCATTTTTGTATACTGTTAAATAATAAATAAATAAGAGTTGCTTCATGGGGGTAGCACTTGATATCCAGTGGCTAAGAGCAGCTAACAGCGGCCCTTATTCCATGATCAAATTGGAATTTAAAAGTGGATTTTTGTGGAGGGATCAAAACGATTATAAATTTATCGAATGAATTGCATTTTTAAGAAAAAGAGAAATAACTGTTTTAATCTCAGAAATGATCAAAAACTGATTTACAACTAAACTGATCAACCACGAGCAAAAACATGAAAACTATCTTTGGGCTTTTAAATATATTTTATTTTCTCATAATGTTCAGTTCCAGAAAATACCCATATACCTCCACCATGAAGGAAATTTGTAAAATGACCCCCATACCCCTAAGAACTTCGAATTTTTTTCTATACAAACTCTGTAATTTATTTTTGTTCTTTCTGTAACCCCCCTCCCCTCCCCCCCTCCCCTCCCCTAAATTACTCCTTAATGTTTTAGCTGAAGTCAGAAGTCATGACTGAATTGGAAATTTAAAAACTTCAAACATTTTAGAAAAATACTTAAAAGTTTTAAGTTGAAAAAAAACCAATAATTATTCTAACTAAAAAATCAATGATCATCTATTTTTTAATAACTGCCTTATTATAAATGCCTTACCCTGTGAGCAGAGTCTCCTTTTAACTCCTCTCTGCTCACAGGGTATAAATGCCTTTAAATTAACACTAATTAAACACAAGGCATTATACAAGGCAAAAGCAGTTTTAGACATTAACTAGAGGAAAGCAGGTAGGAATTAAATTTCATTCAGAGTTTCAGAACTCTAATAATTCAACTTATAATACACTCTACAAAATTACTTGATCCTGATTGGACAAGAGGAGCACAATTAAATCCCAAATGGTACTCTCTAGAGTCCAAATTAAAAAATATATATAATAATGGGGTTCTTATATAGCGCATTATCACATTGTCTCAATGCGCTTTACATTGCAGTGGAGGACTTTACAGGCTGCATATTAAGGCACTTTTAGCAGCCGTGCAGCTTACAATAATGAGTGATTTGTTAGTACGTTAGTTTTATGCCTCCAAATTGGGATAGGCTGTTGAACCGGGAGACAATCCCCTACTCTTACACGAATAATTCAACAGGTTCTTTTATGTCCCCTATTTACTGCAGGTTAGGAAGGGTTGGGAGACAGGGCCTGCGGTTTTAAGTCCTTGTCTGAGAAGACTTGAAGGTCTAACCATTTGCAGATGTAATTACAGAGGCAGCACCTTCTCCTAAGTTATTTTAAGACCCTGAGTGTTGGTCCGGCCGAGGCTTGAACCACGACCTGCCGCACAACAGACCGACTCTCTTACCAACTGAGCTAACCTGAGCTAACCGGGTGGCGGTTATTAAGTTGCTCATTATTTTTTTTGAGTGTATAAACAAAAAATCACACAATGTTCTAGTACAATCCGGATTTTATAGATACTTGTGAGGTTTTGAAAATTCTCAAATTGAAGGCTCGTCCAATTTTGAAAACTTTCAAAACATCACTCGTACCTATAAATTCCAAATTGTACTYGAGATCGTGCGATTTCCTATACTAATTTTGGAGCCCAATGATAACATTTGACAAATCTAGTAATACAGGTTGGAATCCTAGGATGCAATAACATTTTGGTAATCTTCAATTTTGCACAAGTTTTGTGCTAACAAAATTTTACATTATACTATGCATGGTGTCAGGGTGACTTACTTGTTTCTCCTTCGCACTGTTCACCAGGATTCTTTGGCTCTCCTAGAAACACTAGAAAAGATATTCAAATTACATTTTATAGATGTTTAATATAGAATGCAAAAAATGCCATAACAGCAGCTGCACACTCTCCAACATTGCTGATTTCGAATACTTTTTCCATCAAGGAAAGCCACATTCTTTCATTAAGCAAACCTGTGTCAAAACATATGAATACTACAAATGAAAACATCTGTAAAAATATTCATGAGGAAAAGTGAAGTACGGAAAAGGAAATTAAAGTGAAAATCAAGACTCAAGAGTGTAGGGATGAAATTGAGAGGTATAGAATGAAAGGATTGAGGGCCACAAGTTTATTAGTGTAGTACACTATTTAGTGCCACCTCATTAAATAAAGTTGTTATCATTATTATTATTATTATTATTATTATTAATCTTGATTACATTGTGCGTACTAGTATTTTGTGTGTAGGCACAGCTCGAAAAAGAAAAAAATAAAGGCAAACGTTTGACAGGACTACATGTAAATACGAAATTGGTAAGCAACAACTTGGTAAACTTTTCCTTGGCATTTCATTTCTTTCAGTTGGCAATCCAGAAATCATTTTTTCCTGGCATTAGTAATATTTTGGTCTGCATTTTAGCAATTGGCTGCCTGCCTGATATGTCAAACCCTGGTAGTTGCCTAGCTCACAAAATGAACAAGTAAAAACAATTTCAAAGTAAAACATGCTTGATACTTACAGTGGATGACCAACTCTGAGTCTCTGTTGATTTCATAGAGTCTTATGGCCTCATCTAGCTCATCTTGGCATGAGATGGTACAAGGATCACCTATAAAATGAAAAAGTCAAACTATTGGTGGGATCAGTGTGGTGACAAGCCAATAAAAAGATTGATCAAGTACATAAGGTGCATAGAAATGGGGGGGTGGGGGGTGGGAGGGGAGGGGATGAAAAAAGGGGGAGGGAATTACAATCACTGGGAATAAGCCTGAAGTGAGATCCTGACATTAAAAACCCTGGCACAGTAACAATGACAATTGTGTAGTTCCAAAAATTATCTATGCCCCCCTCACGGAAGAAATTTTTTAAGACACCCCCTTTACCCCCCGGAAATTCCAATTTCCTTCCATACAAACTCTGTAATTTTTGTTCTTTCTCTGACCCCCCTGCTCTTCGGAAATTCCAAATTTCTCTGTGGGATGGGTAGGTATGGATGATTTCTGGAACTACACATTAAACATTTATCTAAAATATTAACTTTATTTATCTCGCTTGCTTGTGCTTTCAATGTTTTTTTTAATGGAAAACTTGTTTTGAGAAGAATGAATAGATCATTATGACAACTACAAATGAATAAACATGATAAATCATTCATAGCCAGGGGTTTCTAGAACATACCATAGTCACTTCAGAGGAAACCTATATATAAATATAAACATAATATATAATCCTTGTTTTATTTTTGAATAATTTTTCTAATTATTTCACATTCAGAAAATAAGATATAAACCTCAATATTATAACCACAAGTGAGATTTTCAAATAGACAGCTGAAATGATGACTATTCTTCACTAGCTCATACCATTTATTAACTTGAATTTAGGATGACTATTTCATCCTCAGGCCATTGTGGTACTCATAGCCATAGTTGTATAATGATCTTCAGGTGATTACAGTCACAAATTTAATTTTTTTTATGAGCTTAAACACGTCTAGCATTCCATCATCCTAAGCTTTCTCTAACTAGATCATTCAGTGTTGTAATTTTTAACTGCAAAAAATCAGCCTGCCACCAATTTTAATTCTATTAGATATTAGTTTACAATGGAAACCTAAACCAGTAGTTGCTTTATACTGATGATAAATTAACAGACTTTTAAGGTTCTCTATCAATTTGACGATCAAATAATAAATTACAGTGCAGCTATATTCATATTCTACGATAAAGAAATACTGTACATGTAAATAATTATTATCTATAAAACAAGATAGAAATAATAACTAAAAAACAAAATCACAAACTGACAGAAAAAAACTGTGAGATACTCAAGAAATGTTTGGCTTTTAAAAGATCGAAATAATATAAATCTGTACCTGCGGAGGATGTGAAACACTCACTGAACAAGCGTAGGATCTGCATCTCAATAAACGCTATCCAGGCCACTTCTTTTAATAAGAGTATGGCCCAGGGTGTATTTCACTCTTACTAATGGATAGATCTTTAAATAGTAGTAAGGTTTCATATGATAACAAACATGAGAACATCCTATGAAAAAAGGACTAAATCTCAGTTGTTTACAGTTTTCATGCTTGCTTCTAAAAAATACTACCAATAAAATCTGAAAGAGATTTCCACACACAGCATGTTGATCTGCATTCAATAGAATACTTGAAGATCTGATTTGTTCAGTACTAGACAGGAATAAATAATTTATTAAATAACGTTGCCTACACTGTTTAGACTGATTATAACCTACTGGCCCTGTTTCCTTGACAACACCAATAAGATATACTTCACATTATACATGTATAATGCACAGACTTATCTTTACGAGTGGTCTATATCCATGGATATAATTAGATACTCTGAATAAGATCTTTTTATTATTTATTATCGTGTAGTTATAAAAATTATCCATACCACTCCCACTCTCCCCTCCCCCCTCCCATCCACCCAGGAAATTCCAATTTTCTTCCACACAAACTCTGTAATTTTGTTCTTCCTCTGATCCCCCCCCCCCCCTTAGAAATTCCAAATTCCTCAGGAGGAGAGGGTATGGATAATTTCTGGAACTACACATTTACATGTTGAGTTCTTAACAATGTTCAAGAGAGAGTTTAAGAGAGGGTCCAAGGATTTTTGAGAAGGGTGTTAAAACATTATACATATATTTTATACATAATTTACTTCAAAGCTGTGAAATTAAAGTTTAGGGTAAAACAATCAACTGAACCTCAGGTATGACAGGGGGTATGGAACCCCCAGCCTGGATCCATCCTAGGTAAGAGGATCGTGCCTGAGATGTAATTCCTCTACATAAATAAATTTCAAGTAACTGAAAGAATTGTTGGAAATAATTCTGTTGTTAATTATTATTCTCTCTATTGTGAACTTCATTGGTTCATTTTTCTTTTTCATGTTTCAGATTGATAACTAAAGGTTTATCAATATTGACTTACATCATCCAAAACATTACATGAAACTTACTTTCGAACGAACACAGAGTTCTTATCCAAAAAAGGCTTGAATAGCTAGCTATATAAGGAGCTGGAACTTCACTGTTTGATGTGGGATGATGTCTAGCACTTAGCATGCTCACACACACATAGCATTACTTTTGGTTATTTACAGTGTATATCAAAGAAATTAAGGAAATATACAGGTTGAGGTAAAATAAAAAATAATTGACTAAAACAGAGGGTCATCGAGTCCAAACTTTTTTTGAAGTAAGCAAACAGGAATCGTATTGTTAAAACATTTACATATTTAGATTTTTAACACTTTGAAGAGTCTTAGGCCAAAAGATAGATTTATTTATTTAATATTTATTGGTTTGGATTGTTACATTTACGAATACACTCTTTACCTGCAAGTAGCTTATTAAAGCTATCCGAGCCAGGTTAAAAAGAAAGACAATGGAATAAAACATGCTGGTACAACTGTGAACATTACTTGGTGTGCTGTTAATGAAGGTTATTATGATGATAATGAACATCAGACATTCTCCATCTTAAGCCCCGTTTACACTAGCGATTTTTGCAGCGATTTTTGCGGCGATTTTTGCTGCGATTTTTTTGCGATATTGTCCATAATAAATAATGGTAAAGAATTTACTTGTAAAGTTTTTTTCAGGATACCATGATTTTCCTAGACGAATGTCTCTTTTGAAGGATGAGACAAAAGATTTCATATTTCCGAAAATTGCCACAAAAATTGCAGCAAAAATCACCGCAAAAATTGCCAGTGTAAACGGGGCTTTATAGGCAACTATATATTAATTAGATTAATTAACAATTGCGAGTTGATAAGTCAAGGCCAGAGAGAATTAGAAATCCTGGTTCATATACTCAGGTATGTTATCATTACTGATAATGATAACCATTATCAAAGGGAGTCCTATCTCAATCTTATAAGAAGTAATTAGATTATAAATTATCAATTGTTAAAGTTACAAAATCGAAAAACATACATGATTAAGTCCTGACTGAGAAGACTTAGCTCACAACTTATTCAACCGTAATAATTTTTTTCAAACTGTGTTTGATATATTCATTCATGATTCACTATTGACTCAAAAATATTTCAAACCCAACATTTACAAGTGCACAAATTACTAGATTTATCATGGTAAAAATAAATTTAATAACAGTTTTTGCTGTAGGTTAAAACTGTTTRATAAAATTCCTAAGGATTTTATACCAACCAACCATAATGATTAGTGGACCCAATCTTATCAATAAATCAATGGTATAATATTTCTAGCAATGCTGATTAATCTTTTAAACCTGAATCAGCTGATAGCATGGAGAATGACACCCTAAAAGAAAATTATCTTACCAAATGGTATTCTTATCAAGTCGACATTACTATGGCTTATATAGGATCTTCTTGAATGATGTAGAATTGCATTCCATTGATCAATAAAAGAACCTCATTTATGGTAAAAGGATTTTATCTTAGAACAAAAAATATTACAAAAGCATTGGATATCTACATATAAAATAAAATTGTTCAAAAATTAAATTTGATAATGAGGAAAATACAATCATACGATAAAATTTCTTAATTAAAAATCTTCAAAATTTTATGATTCATAAAAATTCGAAGCTTCTCGATTGAATTTTAGAGAATTAGAGTTGCTAGGTAATAATACTCAAGTTCAAAACCAAGACAACTATGGTAGTTTCGAAAGCTAAAATGCATTAAATAAGATAAAAATGAGCTTACGTTTATTCAAAAATAATAATAACAGCCCAAGTGAATTTCGATTAATTCACGAACTATGTACAGTGTATTTTTTTCCATCAATTGTTTTGATGACAATTAAGACTTTCATGATTTAAAATTATTATTTTCTATATGCAAATAGTTAAACAGTAGCGCAAATAAGTATAAATTGAATAGAAACCATTATATTGTTTAGGAAAAATTCTCGACATTAGGAAGTTAACAATAAGCTTACTAACAACAGTCTTACCTTCTTCGTCTAACCACTTCATCGTGAAGTTTTGTTCTTCGCCAAACTTAAATATATCCCTCATCTCGTCAACGAAGTCTAACATCTTTATGTGAGGGTCCATGCTTAGGCACATTATATCACTGAAAATTGAAGCCAAAAAATAATTTTAAATGCAATAAAAATGAAGGAAGGAAGGAAGAATACAACACTAGCGACGTAAAATGCTCCAAAAATAGCGCTCACAATTCTCCAAGAAATAAAGCAAACTAACCCGTTAAAAGCAGCCCGAATCGAAACTCCGTTATCTGCATGCATGTTAATAGCTTTGCATTCCACGTAGAGGTAATAAAATGAGATAAAAAGTGAGTTTTCGTGGAGGAATATTGGTGAAGTTTTACTGTATGGATAAAGAAAGCGTCTACGGCTTGTCGTTACTACATGTCACGTGATAACATTCCTAGCATTCCTAACATTGAGACCGCTGTACGTAACGTACTGACTCACACTATTGAGTCACGCTCGGCTTTGGCGGGCGGCTTTATGGCAGGTTTCATGGAATCTTTTTTTGACGTCACATCCGCTCGTGCATTTCGAAGCTGGCCGTCAAATTTGGACTCATACGCGCGGTGGAATTTTTGACGGCTGGGGAAAGCCGTCTCTTGGCTATGGCTAAGGACACTAAGAATTCGTTTTCTTTATATGTAATGGGTATGCCATCAGAAGCAAAAGAACGGTACCGGAAAAAATTAAGTTTTGGTGTATCTGGAACTATTTTACCGGACCCATACATCATAAAAGATGAAAATTGGTCGACAGACCCTACTCTTTGGCCGGACCTGGACTTTGGACAGATTTACACGTACCTAGTAGAAACACCGTCTATTTTTGACAAAAAAATCAATGAAAGCATACAAGAGCTTAGAGGCATATAGGTAAGTTTATAATACTAAATACTTTTTTGTTGGTATTACTGCAAAAGACTGTTTTGCCAGTACATAAGCTTTTAAAGAAAAGACTAGTTGTTTTGTACAAATATCAACCCCATCAACGTACGCCTCTAGTCTATAGATGGCTTTTATACCGAGCATTGAATGAATTTTATGGAGTCGTAAATTAATCAACCTCTATGGCAAACCTAAAAGCTTTATTTAAAATTTATCTCAACTTTAACAAAGTTTTCAAAATATTGCTTTTCGGTCATTTTTATCGTGAACTTGTCAAGCGACTTGAGCAATATGGCGGTCGCTAATTGGCTGTTTATGACAGTTATTGTGATAATATTATTTGCATATGTAAACACAAGATTGTTGTCTTGAAGCTGCGTTACTTTTTACAGCACAAGTCAACTGAACTAGGTTCTTTAAATGAATTACACTGTGTCAYGTTTGGAATTTAAAAGATTGCTTTGACTTTCAAAATCCTAAACTTTTCGTGATAAATTTCGCAAAGTTAAGTAACTTACGTACTTTTTATTGCACCCGCTTACCGGTTTGTAGATATGTCGAAAGTGGCCACGTCGAGGAAGTCAAAGCGTTTGATGTTAAAGAAGC